AACTACGAGCCCGGTTGCGAGTCGAGAGCGGACTTGCAACTAGGATAAATACAAAACTATGAGCCCATTTATAAGTCAAGGGTCGACTTGCAACTGGGATAAAACAAACTACAGACCGAGTTGCCAGTTAAGGGTGGACCTGCAACTGGGATGAAAAACAAAACACGGGCCAAGTTGCGAGTGAAGGTTAGACTTGCAACTAGGATGAAATAAACTACGAGCCTAGTTGCGAATCAAGCACGGACTTGCAACCCTGACAACTACACAAAACTACAAATACCATTTGCGAGTCGAGAGTGAATTTGCAACTAGGACAACGACAAACTATGATCGCAGTTGCGAGTCGAGGGTGGGCTTGCAATTGGGATGAAAAAAAACACATGCCCAGTTGCCAGTCGAGTGTGGTGTTGCAACTAGGACAACTACGAGCCAATTAGCCACTCAAGGGTGGACTTGCAACAGTGAAAACTATGAAACTATAAGCCTAGTTGCGAGTCAATGGTCCGACTTGCAACTAGGATGAAACAAATTATGTGCCCAATTGCGAGTCAAGGGGTGAGCTTGCAACCGTGATGAAAAAACTAAAACAAATACTCTAGTTACGAGTCGAAGGTGGGCTTGCAACTAGGACAACTACGAGCCGAGTTGCAAGTCGAGGGCGGACTTGCAACTGGGACAAATACAAAACTACAAGCTCACTTGCGAGTCAAGGGTCGACTTCAGCTGGGGAAAAAACAAACTACAAGCCCAATTACTAGTTAAGGGTGGACCTACAGGTAGGATGGAAAACAAAACATGGGCCGAGTTGCGAGTGAAGGTTGGACTTGCAACTGGGGAAACTACACAAAACTATGATACGAGTTGCGAGTCGACGGTGGACTTGCAACTGAGACAACAACAAAACTATGGGCCCAGTTGCGAGTTGAGGGTGACTTGCAATTGGGACAACTATGAACCTACAAGCCCAATTTGCGAGTCAAGGGCGGACTGGCAATTGGGATGAAACAAACTACTGGCCTAGTTGCGAATCAAGGACAGACTTGCAACCCTGACAACTACACAAAACTATGATATCATTCGCGAGTCAAGAGTGAATTTTCAACTGGGACAATGACAAACTACGAGTTGCGAGTCGAGGTTGGGCTTGCAACTGGGGAGAAAACGAAAACACATGCCAGTTGCTAGTCGAGTGTGGTGTTGCAACTAGGACAACTACGAGCCAATTAGACAAACGAGAGTGGACTGACAACTTTGAAAACTAGGAAACCATAAGCCTAGTTGCGAGTCAAGGGTCTGGCTTGAAACTGGGATGAAACAAATTATGTGCCAAGTTGCGAGTCGAAGGTGGGCTTGCAACCGGGATAGCAACGAGCCTGGTTACGAGTCGATGGCAGACTTGCAACTGATACAAATACAAAACTACGAGCCCAATCGCGAGTCAAGAGTCAACCTGCAGCTGGGATACAACAAACTACAAGCCCAATTGCGAGTTAAGGATGGACCTGCAACTAGGATGGAAAACAAAACACGGGTCGAGTTGCGAGTGAAGGTTGGACTTGCAATTGAGAAGAAACAAACTACGGCCTAGGTGTGAGTCAACAATGAATTTGCAACTCTGACAACTACACAAAACTACGAGACGAGTTACAAGTCAAAGGTGGACCTGCAACTGAGACGACAACAACAAAACTATGGGTCTAGTTGCCAGTCGAGGGTGGACTTGCAACTGGGACAACTATGAAACTACAAGCCCAGTTGCGAGTCAATGGTGTACTTGCAACTAGGATGAAACAAACTACGAGCCTTGTTGCAAATGAAGGATGGACTTGCAACCATGACAACTACACAAAACTACGATACCATTTGTGAGTCGGGAGTGAACTTGCAACTGGAACAATGACAAACAAGAAGCCTAGTTGTGAGTCGAGCGTGCACTTACAACTGGGATGGAAAACAAAACACATGCCCAGTTGCAACTAGGAAAAACGCGGACCCGGTTGCATGTTGAGGATGGAGTTGCAACTGGGACACAAATGATTAGCCTCCGCCCCCACAAATGAAGATTGCGATTCAAGGGCGGACTTGCAAGATAGTTGTTTGTCAAGTGAAACACAAAAGGCGAACCAGTTGCATGTCAGGGTGGAGTTGCACCTAGGAAAAGAAGTCTATGAATGAAAATCACAAAAATCACAAAATCCCTAGATGAAAACACAATGCAAAAAGGCAAAAAAAGTATCCAAGGTCACATCACAGTCATCATTGATTGCCATCTTCTTTCATCGTGTGGACAAAGATCGAACCCCTTAGTCGTCTTCCTCCTTCCTACTTGCATCGGCTCTACTCCAAGGCAAATGGGGATGGGAGGGAGACAATGATGATGGAACTGAGGAAGCAGTGATAAACTCATGTCTTCAACTTATAAAATGCATGCCAAAAAGAAAAACGGGTCTCGAGATTGCATCACGAAGTCGGCCCAACAAAAGACACACACGTGAACGGGATGACAAGTGGACACCGGACGTACACGGGACATGGAAGTATAAGACGCGCATGAAAAAATAATCCATGATCAAGATTTGCACAAACATTTTAAAAGCGAACAGGTCGAGCGATCAGAAACCTAGATGAGACATTGCTAAATGTGTTGAAAAAAAGTTCATGAACTTGAAACAAATAAATAAACAAAGACAAAAAATGCTAATCATGGATATAAATATGTTTCTGGTGCATTCAAAAATATTGAGTGTATATTGAAATAAGTTGACATGTGCTAAAAAACCCGAGTAAGATCGACAAAGAAACAAAGAAAAATGCATAAACCACCAAAATAGAAAAAAGAAATAGAAAACACAAAGCCTATGGAAAAAAATGAAGACAATGATAACTAAGAAAAAAAACAAAAAAGTCAAGAATGAAACAATTCAAACCAAAAAACAAAAGGTAACCAATGCAAAAATTAAAGAAGGAAAACCCAAGAAAGAAACAAAAAATGAAGAAAACCAAGAAAGAACATAATAAAGAAAAACAAAGGAAACAAAGAAAAAGCAAAAGAAATTAAAACAATGAATACCGAGAAAAGCAACAAAAAAATAAAATTAGAAACAAAATTATCATGATTCTTTTTAAAAATCATGAATTTACAAGCATTTAAATTTTAAAAAGTTCATAACTTTAACACAAATAAACAAAAAATAAAACGTAAAAGTGAAAAAAAAAACAGCAGAACCGACTCGTGCATTTCTACCCTGCACCCCACCATGGAAAACAACACATCTTAGGCAGGAAAAACAATACATTTAATCATGAAAGAATGAAATCGCTGTGCCTTCCTATTAATGCCTGGCAAAAGGACATCCGTATAACAGCCCAAAGCTGTGTGTGCATAACAGGCCAACAAAAACAAAAAAAGCCCGGCCGTGCGCACACAATCAACCGAGGAAAAACAAACAACAACGAGCACATCGATGCGAATCAGACTCGTACAAAGAAACGGGCGAACGCAGGAGGCGGGGGCAGAAAAAAAATGTGGGCACGAATCCTAAAGACAGGACAGAATCCAATGGCTCTAGACTTAGATGTGAGATAGCTATTTCACATCTAGATGTGAAATAGCAAATCTGAAAGTATTAAGCCACTTACACTTGCGATTGGGAAACCACATAAGTATAAAAGTAATTGTTTGGTAGGCAGGGGTTTCCCTATCAGGACCCATCAATATGAAGCCATTTCATCCCCGAAGCTCTATCTGAAGATCACGGAAGAAAATGAACACTTTCACTGTTCACCCGCTGCGGCTGATGACTGAGCACCGTCCATCCCGGATCCGAGGGTCTACAATCTTCTACTGTTTATCTTCTTTCTTGGGCTGATCCGATGCTGGCTATATACCCGTGTAAGCGTAGAGGCAGTCAAATCTCTTTTGTATATGGGGTTGAACCCTACCCAATGCCATGGTCTGGCCGGCATAAACTCTCCTGTGTAATTGCTTGATTCGAGTGAAGCATTCCTCTGATAGTAGCTAATCTCTGTGTAATGCTCTGTTTCACCTTGTTCTCTGAATCCCCTAGTCATTCCGTATTGAGATAAGGTGCGAAATAGCAGTTAAAATCATAGTAGGAATAGAATAGAATAACTTTATTTGCAAGGAAGGTACAAATTAACAGTTTTGCTACAGCACATGTAGACATTCCTTACCACTAAATTATGCAAAGCAACAAAATAGCATTGGTGAATGCTCTGAGTGAGCAGGCTGGCCAAATAAGTGATGCAGGATGTAGCCGGGGATGGTGAGAAGCAATCAGGTGCAGAATGCAGAACACCAGCACACCAAATTGCACACTACTGCTGACACAATGGTTCTTTAATTTAATTAGTCATCAGATAAGAACAATGCTACTTCTAGAGCGTGCGTTCATGCAGGTGCTCCTTCTCTGATAAATGTACATCAACTGGCTAAGTCTTGATTTTTTACCTCATTAAGGGCACAAGTAAGGCCGGTGTTGGATGCATCAAGAGCCTCTTTTTGCTTACGAGGAATGGATTAAAACAAGAACTCTAGTACAGCTACTCAGACGTTAGGACACCACTAAGCTGCCAACCAAACGATTACACGATTCGACAGCTCCAGTTCTGAACCTAACAAGAGATCACGACAAAAATGGTACAGGGCAGCTGAACGAGGGACACAACAGTTCATGATGAACAAGGGACTGGATCAGTGACTAACGTGAATCGAGGCCTGTTGGGGAACTATTGGGACTCGAATTCGTTGAGCAAGTAGAATTTTAGTGTTAAGAAGAAGAAATCAACAAAGTACAGGACTACTCGAATCAAATAACCGAGCAACTCCAAACAAAAAAGTGATGATGGGACAAACTGAAGTCTGAGACATCATCAGTGCGGACACACGACAGAGCAAACCGGAATGACCATTTACAAATCTGGACAAGCCTAACCACACCGATACACTAGTATGAACTCCAGAAAGACCCTCAGCACGGTCAGTTCATGGAGTGGCAGCAAATAAACGGCATCCACTGCTGCTTCTTCCCTTTCGGCGACTTCTCCACCGGTAACCTGGCCGGAGAGTTCCAGTCTTGCTGCTCGGAACCAGGCTTGACAGGCGAAGGGTTGTCCTTCGACGATCGGCGCCTGAACGACAGCATTCGGTCCTTGGTGCTCGCCTTCTTTTCTTTAACTTCAAATTCAATGCCTTTCTCGGAGAGAAGGGACTTCAGGGACACATGGCTCTTATCTGAATCTATTGTCATTTCCTTGTCTGTGATCTCTTCATTTGGATGGTCATTCGCGCTATCCTTGGTGTTGGTCTCTGCTGCAGTCTCTTCCTTCTGCTTCTTTTCTTCAACACCATCAGTCCGAGCATGGTCCGCGGCAGTGTTTTCATCCCGGTTCTCTTCTTTGGCATCATTTGTGCCCTGTGGTGTGCTGTTCATGTGAGAACTAGAGTCCGCGACAAGGATAGTACCTGCATTGCCTCCGGCATTGACGGATGTAGGGTCCGAAGTAGGCTCTTCACTCTCCTTTCCTTTGACATTGTCAATGGTGTGGACCAAGCTAACATCAAGAGTAGATTCTGGAGTTACCTCTTCTTTCTCCTTTCCTTCAACGGCATCAACAATGCTTACCGCATCAGTGTTGTGAGAGGTTGGCTCTGACATAGTTTCTTCACCCTTCTCTTTAACAATATCTGTGTCGTCAAGTACATTTTCGTGAGAACTAGGGATCTCTGTCATGTCTTCATTCTGCATATTGTCTTCGTGTATCACATTAATAGCATGAGGAGCAGGACCTGGCGTAATTTCTTCATCTTGCTTCTTTTCTTCAACTTTATCTGTAATAATGTTCGTCATCTGAGCAGTAGGGTCTGCGGTAGTTTCTTCACCGTGCTTCTCTAATTCAACTATAGTTGGGAGGTCTGCGGTAGTTTCTTCACCATGCTTCTCTAATTCAACTATAGCTGGGAGGTCTGTGGCAGTTTCTTCACCGTGCTTCTTTAATTCAACTATAGCTGGGAGGTCTGCGGTAGTTTCTTCACCGTGCTTCTCTGATTCAACTATAGCTGGGATATCCACCACATTTATCTCATGAGCAGTTCCGACATGGACAACACTCTGTTCCTTTTGCACAATTATGTCTCTGCTGCTTATCACATCGATACTGTCAGAAGCAGGATCTGCTATCACCTCTTCAATCTGTTCTTTTTCCTCAACACTACTTGCACTCTGTAATATGCTGGTCTTCAGAGTACCATCTTCTGCACTGATTTCTTCAATCTGCTTAATCTCTTCGATGTTATCCGTACTGCATACATCATTAGTCTCACGGGAGGTAAGGTCCACACTAACGTTCTCAATTTGTTTATTCTCATCAACATCATGCTCGCTACTCATACTGATCTCCTGAGTAGGGTCTAAGCTAGGCTCTATTGGGTCAATTTGAGATGGCATGGAAATGACATCACTTGTATGGCTTGAATTATTCTGTGTGTCATCTTCTGTTGTCACCTCGGAGGTATCTTTCTTTGTAACATCAGAAGCACTACCAGCTGATATGACCTCAGCAACAGGACTATCCACAGCAGGCTCTGTTGCACTTGATACAGCTTGGGTAACCTCATCTGCAGAATGCTCATTGAATGTCAGTTCATAAACAATAGTCATAAGGGAGATAAAATAGTTGGAGATATTTATGACCATGTTGTTACTTGTGAAATAAAATTACGGTATTCCAGTTTATCTAACTTGTAGACAGGGCTAGATGATTGGATACTGAGGCCTCCTATTTGAGCTGTATAATTAAATTTCAAGCATAAGATAAAATTATCTTTGTGATTTCAATAGAACAACCAATAAGCTAACAACGCCACCGTATTTAGGAATTAGGGACCGTTTTCATCATATGTTGGTTACTATAAGTATAATGCACAAATATGAATTCTGACGGCTCAACCTGACCAAAAGCCCAAAATCAGACTTCACCACTTCTTACAAAAACTTTTGCAACCGAACAACAAAAATAGTACAAAATACAGAGTACAGGATCATCAGTACAAAAACTCAAAGTCTCACCTGCACCAGGATAGCTTGACCCTTCTTCAAGGCCCGTCTGTTTGGAGTTTGTCAGCTGATCTGCTACCACAGAAGTAGAATCAATTTGCTGTTGTGTTTCGACAACATCTGCTGCCTCCAAATGACAACCACCAGCAAGTTGAGATAAATCATCACTACTGGTATCATCTGTGTGGGCATTATTATCAGTATAAGGCTCCTTATTCCCAAGTACATCGACAGGTTCCTTGTGTTAGACCTTTCAGCCTGAGCATTGATAGTTGTGGATGACACTAGGAGAGTTGGGACAATTTTCGTTGGTTTATTTCTCACACAATGCCATGCCAACCTGAGGGGTTGGGGATACATATTTATAGGCTGCTAGCCAGCCAAGGCATATGCTAAGATGCTGCTAAGATGCCAGTCTAAGATGCTAGTCTAAGATGCTAACTGACAGTCCTTGATGGTCAAGAACAGAACTCTATCCTAACAGCCAGTCCTTGATGGTCCAGGACTTTATCCTCCTAACTGCCACAAGGACCATGTGCTGCAGCCCCACAAGGACCCTAGTACACAGACTTATCCATCATTCTCCCCCTAAGTCTTGTACGTCGTCTTGTGGGAGAGTTGAATCATCCCAATCCTGGAGCAAAGTTCGAGGAACTTGACCCTCCCAAGGGGCTTGGTGAGCAGGTCTGCGAGCTGATCCTTGGTGTTGATGTAGCTCGCCTCGATGCTCCCTTCTTCCACACAGCTGCGGATGAAGTGATACCTCAGTCGGATGTGCTTGCTCCGTTCGTGGAACACGGGGTTCTTTGCCAGGGCCAGGGCGGACTTGTTGTCCACCAGGAGCTGCACCGTTCTGGTGTCTTGAACGAGAAGATCACCAAGCAGTCGAGCAAGCCAGAGCGCCTGAGTACAGGCGGTGGAGGCCGCTATGTACTCAGCCTCACAGCTGGACAGGGCCACCACCTGCTGCTTGACTGATTGCCAACTCACGAGACACTTGCCGAGGAAGAGGAGGATCCCGCTCGTGCTCTTGCTGGTGTCGATGTCGCCGGCGTGGTCGCTGTCGCTGTACCCGACGAAGTGTGCCGCCCCAGGACACCTAGGGTAGTGGAGGCCGTGGTCGAGGGTCCCTGCTATGTAGCGGACGATCCTCTTCACTGCCTGCTGGTGTTCCGACGTTGGTCGCTCCATGAACCGACTGACATAGCCGACGGAGAATGCCAAGTCCGGCCGTGTGTGAGTGAGGTAGCGAAGGCTCCCCACAAGGCGTCGGTACTGCGTAGCATCCACTTCCTCCGTCGTGCTGTCGCGGCTTAGTTTCAGCCTCTCCTCCATCGGAGTGAGAGCTGGATGGCAGTCGGTGAGCCCAGCTAGCTCAACGATGCGCTTGGCGTAGGCGGACTGTCGAAGCGCGATCCCGGAGTGGTCCTGGTGCACCTCAATCCCTAGATAGAAGGAGAGGAGCCCCAGGTCACTCATCTGGAACGTGGCCTTCATGTCTTCCTTGAACGCCGCCACCTCTGCATCTTTGGTGCCGGTGATCACCAGGTCGTCAACGTAGACGCCCACCAACAGGGCATTTCCTCCACTCCCCCGTCGGTAGACGGCAGCCTCATGCGGGCTCTGCTCGAAACCCATCTTCTTCAGCGTGGAGTCCAGCTTGGCGTTCCACGCCCTGGGTGCCTGCCGCAGGCCATAGAGAGCCTTGCGCAGGCGGAGCACCTTGCCCTCCTGGCCGGGAATCGTAAACCCCGGTGGCTGATGCACGTAGACTTCCTCCTTCAAGTCGCCGTTGAGGAATGCCGACTTAACGTCCATGTGGTGGACACGCCAGCCCTCCTGGGCAGCCAGCGCAAGGAGAAGTCGCACGGACTCCATCCGTGCCACGGGAGCGAAAGCGTCGTCGAAGTCGACTCCTTCCTGCTGCAAGAAGCCTCGGGCCACCAAACGAGCCTTGTGCTTGATGATGGCGCCGGCTCCATCCCTCTTCAGCTTGAACACCCACTTAAGGGTGATTGGGCGGTGACCTCGAGGGAGATCAGCAAGCTCCCAGGTGCGGTTTTGCTCGACCGCATCCATCTCCAACTTCATCGCGGCGCGCCATGCCGCGTCTCTCTCGGCCTCTGCAAAGGACCGTGGTTCGCCGTCTTCACACACGAGCTGTAGCTGCGCCTCCAGGTCACGTGGCACCAGTCCTGGCACCGGCTGGTCGCCGAGCACATTATCCATCGTACGGTACCGCAGTGGTTCGCCTCCATACCATGCGTCGACCCGCTCCTCGTCGTGAGTGAGCGGGGAAGCGAACTTCATCGGGTTGTGCTCTGCGTGAGCTGGTGCTGATGAAGACGAGCCCGGAGTGGCGACCGCCGGGGCTGGAGTATGCGGCGTCGCCGGTTGTGGTGTCGTCGGTGTAGCAGGCGCCGGAGTCGATGTAGTTTTGGGGGCCGGGGTAGACGTGCCCGGTGAAGAGGAGCTGCTTGCTCCCCCAGCTTCCTTGAAGTGAGCGTACTCGACAATGAAGTCGTCATACGTCGGCGTCGAGCCGTCGTCCACCGCCTTGTCCCATTGCCACCCTCGCCCTTCGTTGAACACGACGTCTCGCGCTGTGCGCACACGTTGTGTCTTTGGGTCGAGGATGCGGTAGGCCTTTGAGCCCTCCGCGTAGCCGATGAAGACTCCCGGAGTGCTCCTGTCGTCGAGCTTGCCGATGTGGCCGAGCTCCTTGGCGAACGCAAGGCAGCCAAAGACCCGCAAATGAGAGACCGCCGGCTTCCGCCCATGCCAGGCCTCGTATGGAGTTCTGCCGTCGAGTGCCTTAGTAGGAGAGCGGTTGAGGATGTAGACGGCCGTTAGCACCGCCTCTCCCCAGAAAACAGCCGGCATCCCTCTCTGCTTGAGGAGAGCCCGAGCCATCCCCACAACCGTCTGGTTGCGCCGCTCGACGACGCCGTTTTGCTGCGGGATGTACGGCGCGGAGTAGTGGCGCTGGATGCCCTCATCGGCGCAGTACGATGCGAATTCAGCCGCCGTGAACTCGCCGCCGTTGTCAGTGCGCAACACACGCAATTTGCGGCCGCTCTCCGCCTCCACACCAACCTGCGCGCGCCTGATGGCGTCCGCCGCTTCTCCCTTACTGCCGAGGATCATCACCCACATGTAGCGGGAGAGATCGTCGACGAGCAGCAGGAAGTAGCGTCGACCTCCTGGTGTGGCTGGCGTCACCGGGCCGCACAGGTCTCCGTGCACGAGCTCCAGCTTCTCCTTAGCCCGAAAACTCGCCTGTTGGGGAAAGGGGAGTCGTCTCTGCTTTGTCAGTACGCAGATGTCGCAGAACTGCTCCACATGGTCGAGGCATGGCAGGCCTCGCACCATCTCCTTGGCACTTAGACGCTTCAGGGCCTCAAAGTGAAGGTGCCCAAAGCGCTCATGCCACTGCCACGCCTCGTCGTCTCGACGGACAGCGAGACAGACCGGTTGTGCCACCTGCACATCAAGGACGTAGAGTCGATTTTCACCTCTGGGCACCTTGGCGAGAAGGCGACGCTGGCGATCCCAGATGCGTAGGACCCCATGCTCAATCAGCATGCGTGAGCCGTTCTCATCCAGCTGTCCCAAGCTGATGATGGAATTCCTTAGCGCGGGGATGTAGTAGACACCGGTGAGCAGCCGGTGCTCTCCCATCTTGGTGGTGAAGATGACGGAGCCGACGCCCTTTATCTCCACAGCGGAGGCATCCCCGAACTTGACGGAGCCTCGCGCATCGGAGTCGAGCTCGGCGAAGAATTCCCTTCGACCGGTCATGTGGTGGGTGGCGCCGGTGTCGAGGCACCACCCCATAGCCTTGTCCTTCCCGGAGCCATCGCCGAGAAGAGCGTGTGCTTTTGGCTCATCGAGGTGGATGAAAGCCTTTGCGACTGGAGTCGCCGAGGGTAGCTCAATGCTTGCATGCGCCATGAACAGAGCCGTCTCCTCCTCCTTCGCCTGTGCGACGTGAGCCTGGCCTTGTCGTGGTTGCCGACACTCATTGGCCCAATGGCCAAACCGGCCACAGTTGTGGCAACTGTTGTCTTGTGCCGGCCTGGGCTTGCCAGCGACGCCGTCCTTGGCGCCTCCGCGGGCGTCACCTTCGGCACGTCCTTGTGCCCTGCCCGGGGGGCCTCTTCGCGCCTTACGCTGCTTGCCACGCTTGCGGCCGCCCGTCGAGGAGGAAGGCTCCCCCTTCTTCTTGTCACCAAGGCTGGGATCCCACTGCTCCCGAGTTAGGAGCAGCTTCCCGCCGGTGGTGACGGGCCCCGAGGGGGGCTGTGGCTCGTCGGTGTCGACGACCTTGAGTCGACCTATCGCCTCCTCGATCGTCATCGTGGAGAGGTCCAGCAACGACTCGATCGAGCGAGCCATCTGCTTGTACTTCTCGGGAATGCATCGAAAAAGCTTCTCGACAGCTCTCTCCTCGGTGTAGGTGGCATCGCCAAACTTCACCATCTTCTGCAGCAGAGTGTTGAGACGGAGAGCAAAGTCATCAACGTCCTCACCTGGCTTGAAGCCCAGGTTCTCCCACTCCTTACGAAGTGCTTGCAGGGTGGACTTGCGAGCACGGTCGCTGCCGATGCGTGCTGCGGCAATGGCGTCCCAAGCCTCCTTGGCAGTCCGCTTGTTGGAAAGCGAGAACTGCATCTCGGGCGGGACTGCGGCGATGAGGGCGTCCAGCGCCCGTCGATCCTCTAGGTGGTCGACGTTGCTGTCCTGGACTGCCTCCCACATGCGCCGCACCTGGAGCCTGACCTTCATGATCCCGGCCCACTCGACGTAGTTGGTTTTAGTGAGGGTAGGCCACCCAACACTGGAACCAACATCCCTGACCACAGTCCGGACCTCGTAGAGGCCGCGGTCCTGGTCGTTGCAGCCGCCGTCGCGGTGCGCGCCTCCACCTGGAGCGCGGGCGTGCTCGGTTGCCCACTGCGCCGTCCGCTCCTGCGCCACTTTGGCACGATCTGCGTCGGCGCCGTCGTCCGCAGGCGCGGAGCTGCTGGAGCTGCCGGGGCTGCCGCGGAGTGCCTTGGCATCCGCCGTAGCCTCACGGGCTGCTTCTGCTGCTGCTGCTGCTTCTACCTCCGCCCTGGCTGCTTCTACCTCCGCTCTGGCTGCTGCCAGCTCCGCTGCAGCCAGCCTCGACACTCTTGCCGCCGCAGCAGCCGCTGCTACAGCCGCTCGCTCACGCTCCTCTGCCACGGCGCGCTCGGCCTCTTGCCGGCGCCGCATGCTCGAGGTAGCCGTGTGCTGAGAGCGACCTGCAGACATGGCTCGCTGCAGGGGGGCTGTTGCGTGAAGAGGAGGCTGATGAAGACGAGCTGCTGCTCGACAGTCCGGAGGGAGGAAGGTAACCAGAGGCAGACGGAGCAGCTGCTGCTACCGACTTGGGCTGCTCACAGGAAATGCTCAGGGTGCAGGTTAACCTGGCTCTGATACCACTTGTTAGACCTTTCAGCCTGAGCATTGATAGTTGTGGATGACACTAGGAGAGTTGGGACAATTTTCGTTGGTTTATTTCTCACACAATGCCATGCCAACCTGAGGGGTTGGGGATACATATTTATAGGCTGCTAGCCAGCCAAGGCATATGCTAAGATGCTGCTAAGATGCCAGTCTAAGATGCTAGTCTAAGATGCTAACTGACAGTCCTTGATGGTCAAGAACAGAACTCTATCCTAACAGCCAGTCCTTGATGGTCCAGGACTTTATCCTCCTAACTGCCACAAGGACCATGTGCTGCAGCCCCACAAGGACCCTAGTACACAGACTTATCCATCACCTTGATGGTACAAACTTGCTCAACTGGGTTAGGTTCGATAACCCTGCTTTCGTCCTTGGATTCAGTGTCTTCACTGGGGTTTTGCTCTCCGGGAACCACACCTAAGTTGTTGACATATAGATCTTCCTCCACTGTAGTAGGACTATGCCCCTCAACAATTTTGGTTTGCAGCTTCTCTTGATAGAACGAATCAACCTCATTACCTTTTACCAACATGCCCTCACTAGTTTTGTCTTCATCAATGGTGTTGATCATACAATCGTTTTCAGTAACGGCAATACCATCAGTGCTACCAGCTGTAGCAATTGTTTGTGCAGAAAATTCACCTGAAGCGGCATCTGATGCCAGGGACACAGCATTAGACTTGCTTGTTTCATCTGCAGAGAAGTCTGGACTGAATCTTGCACCATCTTCAGGCTCTGACTGACAATGGGAAGCGGAGGCATCCTGATGCTGATCACCACTACAATGTGATTCAGACGGATACAAATCTTGAAAATGCGGTGCGCTTTCAGGCAGCGGCAGATCAACTTCAGTTTGAACGTCAGTTCCATTAGCCTTAGGAGGCCCTTCAGAAGTCACATCATTGATAATGACGTCAACTCCGGCACTATTAGAGGAAGAGTGCACTGCAAAATAAATCCACAGAATAAATTAATTACAGTTGTAACGCATCACAAAAATACAACAGCAGTGAGAAGAGCATTGAAGAAAGTGTACGCATATGGCACGGTGAATAATTAAATAGCCCTGGACTTTCTGGCAGTGTGCTATGCTGCCAGCACAGGATGTTGACAATTTCACAAGACCCTAGTACTAAGGAACAACAAGCTGCCGGCCTCGCTAATTTACTGAGCGGCATTATTCTACCGAACTTTGGCATGTACACACAGTATGGGATTTCCAAATCATCATTACCCCTAAGAATATTATCCTAACCCCGAAGTTGACAACGAAGTACACATAATCTGAACATTACACCGCTAATCGAGAAGACAGGAACCGCTGTACTGTATTCCAGCCTTGAACATCAGTACGATTTCACCTAATCATGGAAGTTCTTCTCTGCATAGGCAGGCTGATAAATGGGAGGGAAAAAAGAAGTAGAGTAGCAATTTCCACCTGACGAACCGCAACCAAATCATTCGACATAGATTTTTGGCAAATAAAACAAAGAACGGGGAATATTCGGGGAGGAATAATTGGAGCAAACCTCCAGTGTCGTCGTCATCTACTGCGTTCCCAACATCCTCCGCAGATCCGGGCAAAACGGCGCCAGAATCCGAAGCAGGCGCCCCATTTCCCTCTCCTCCGACATCCTCACCTGGGTCGTCGAGGACACGCAAACGCATCAGCGCAAGAACAGCGCAGACGCAAGCAACGCGCCGGAAACAGAGCGGGAAAGGAACCGCGCGGTACCTGGCACCAATTTCTTGCCTTGGCGCTCTTCCTCTGCCTCCGCACTGGCGGCGGCGGCGGCGGTGGGCGGCGACTTGCCGCCGCCAGCGCCGCAGTTCTTGCGGTGCGCGCGCCGCTGCTTGGCGCTGGGGTGCGCGCTCGCGTACTTGTACCCGCACAGGTGGCACAGGTGGCCGCCGCTGCACGCGCCGTCCCCTCCCCCTGCACACACGCACACACGCGGGAACCGCCGCGGTTACATCACACGACGAGCCAGGAGAGAAAAAGAGAGCAAGGGGCGCCACAATGCGCTGAGCTCACCGGCAGCGCCGCTCCTGTTGCCGCCGCTGTCCATGGCGAAGCGAGCAGTGTGGGTCTCGGCGCTCCCGTGCTCGGCAATGGCGGCGGCGGCGGCGAAGAGTAACCAGTAGCGTGGGTCGCGTGACAGGTCGCGTCCGGGTCTCCCTTCTTGTGCTGCTTTCGCGAACTCCACTCTGCTCTTACTCACCCCGCGCTGTCAGGGCCCACGGCATCCGGGCCCACGCGTCAGCGATAAATTAACGGTGGCGCGTTAAACGCGCGGCGCGGGGGGCCCTCGGCCGCGGAGGGACAAGAGACTTTCTGGTCGTTTACGTGCAGTTGGGGCCTGCGGCGCTTTCCCTGGAAGAGATCTGGGCCGTCCGTCGCGCAGCTGACGGCCAGAGATGCGGATAAGCTGTAACAAACCGGCCAAGATTCTTCACGAGCGCAGGGGTACCCCACGTGGGGGGTAAAGCGAAGGATTCTTTCCTCGCTCCGGGTGGTAGTAGTTAAGGTAACCTGCGCAGCCTTTCGGTTGCGGATAAAATCATTTCTTGTTTTGTGTAAAAAAGCATCACTATCCATTTAAGCATAGTACAAATGAAGACGTTTATACATATGAGCATACAGTCAACCATATGAACGCATGCCTACCCTTATAAAAGGGACTGAGCCGACATATTATTTTAAAATTCATGATGGTGTGACCACATACACCTATGTAGTCAACGAAAACATTTTCTTTAGAAAAATGCAAGCATCAGTGCAAGTCTAAAGACTTAAACTCTAGCGCACCGGTATGTCATGGTATGAAATTCTTTGGACTACAAGATCAAATAGTAAAACAAGGTCTCATGAATAATGTTCAACAAATGAGAATTTGGTTTTATCTAAAACTTAAACTCTGGCGGACTGGTTTCACCGTAAATAATCTAACCATGTGACCGGTTCCTTCCTCGTGTGTTCATTCACGCTCATGGTTTTCACTTGGGGCAGTGTGGCGATGTGATGTTACCATCCAAGCCACCTCAGCCCAACCGGGATATCGGGTCCTACTGCATGTGCTCACTGGCGACAGCTTCCAACCAGAACCAGCGTGTATCATATGAGCTGCTGATTGGGTTCGTAGACAGGCGCGAGCAATGGCAATGGTGGTGTCGTGATTGAATCATTGGTAGCCAGGGGCGCAACCGGCGTGACCGCCGTGGCCGAATCATTGGATGTGTTGTTGGACAGGTAGCACGAAACCCTCATCTTATTTGTTTTTGGGAGAGACAAGTAGTAAATCGGGCGCATTATTGGCGCTTTGGTCCAGCCTCTCGTCACCCTTTCTTCGTGTCAATCTCGCTTAGGACCAGCCACCTTTACACCAGTTTGAGCAGGATGTAGAGAAAGAAACTCGCCGCACTGCATTAGTTTTTTTTAGTGCTATGTAAAGGTATCGTTTGGACGGTTCGGCGTGGTAGTTTACCCAATTCCTCGTTCGTGATTTCTGCTCGAGGTGTTCACAACCGATGCGGAATTTACTAGTGAAGGTTTTTGGTCATTAGAGCAACTCTAGTAGATCCCGCAAAAATGCGATCCATGAAAATCATTTTTACGGGTCAAAAACATACGCGGTCGAGCAGAACCCGTATCTAAATCTGCATAATTTAAAAAAATTGTTTCGCGGGAGAAATTGCACGAACAGAGTTCATCACACACTACATTGTTCGTGGCATACTACATAGTTCATCACAAACTACAAGCTTAGTTATACTACATACTACGTTAAACTAGTACTAGGGGGTCGGATCTGACGGCGACGAGGTCGCGGCAACTGGACGACGCCGGAGAGAAGCCGGACGCTCAATCCTCCTCGCTGGAGCTGCACAGATCGACGTACTTCTCCGACTGCTCCTTGCGGATGCGGCGCCACTCGTCCGCCTTCTCGTTGGCGGCGACGTTGTCGGCGATCGCCTGCCGCCACTCGAGGGCTTCGAGCTCCTCGGCATGGCACCGACGCTCCTCCTCCTCGCGCACGCTCCGCTCGGCGATGGCGTCGAACTCCGCGACGTAGTCCTCGGGCCCGATGACTCCGCGGCGGCCGAGCGGAGCAGGCTCCTCGGGCTCCTCCTTCACCGGGACGAAGGCGAACGGCGCCGGCGGCTCCGGTTCCTCCTCCTCGTCCGACCACTCCCTCTTCACGGGGAGGAAGCCCGCAACGGAGGAGGAGGAGGATCCAGCGTACGAAGAACGCGCGGAGGAGAACGACGCGCGCCGGCGGTCGTACTCCACCGTCTCGCGGTGGTCGAAACTCGCCGGCGGCGAAAGCCCGCGGTTGGTCCACTTCCTCGCGCCGCTCGCGCTCCAGGTCCCTCTCCCGGCCGGATCTGCTGCCGGAGCCGTGTCCGGAGCTCCACATTCGCCCCCACATGGCGGCTGGAGGCGGGGCGGAGGGTCACCGGCGGCGAGAAATTGGGAG